GTGCACGTTTAGTTTGGTCAAATTAATGTAAAAAGAGAAAATAAATAAAACTGGAAATCTGGCAGCGAGGTGCCAGAAAACATGATGTCATGATGCTACGTTCAACAACCGTAAGAATAACAGCATAAAGATGTATATTTATTTTATTTAAATGAAGTGAAACTTTAATTCAGAACAAATTATCGGTAAAAATACAAACTGTTTTAATAAAACAGTATCCGTCCTCCATGTCTTGTCCTGTTTCTACCCAGCTGTCATTGTTTATGACGAATGTGTTCCAGCTGCAGAGTCAACCGATGTGACTCATCAGTGTTTGTTTCTTTGACAGATTTTCTGACACCAGACAAGTAAAAAAAAAAAAAAAAAAGCACAGTAAAGTCCAGAATGATGAGGTGTCAGCAGGGAAAGAGGGACAAAGAAAAAAAAGTTGAAAAAAGCTCACAGAAGACATGTGGGAGAGTCTTTGGTCTGATAAAACTACAGTTGAGCTTTTTGACCTTCAGATGAATCGCTATGTTTGTAGACGTTTAACACACATCATCACAAACAAACTCTTCCTATAGCGAAGCACGGTGGTGGCAGCATCATGACATGAAGCACGGTGGTGGCAGCATCATGATGTGAAGCGCGGTGGTGCTTTATGTAAAGTAAAGGCTAGAAACTGTGTTTTAATTGTGGAAAATAGCTGTATTTCTATAAACTGGCTGTTTAACAGTAGGTTTTGATGCCCCAGCTGCTGAAATATTGCAGTTTTTCACAGAGTAGATGTGATTAACTGATCCAAGGTTTCAATAAAACACGAGGCAGTGTGTTTTTAAATGAGCCGACCAAAGATTCGGCATATCGTAGTGAAATTGTAGCTTCTTTCTGCTCATGATCCCAGCTGATTCTTGGACGTATCGATTTCAAGCGAACACCGAAACTTGAGTCTTGGTTTCACACGTATACCGCCTCAGTCTTCTCACCTCACCGTCGATACGACTGCGAGGACGCTAATTTCCCCGAGGCTTCAATTACATCGACTCCAGACCTCCTTGTTCATTTGTACGCAGCATCGTTTCTGCATCTTTACATCTGTGCAGGTCGTCTCCTCGTACGAGCGTTCTGATGGATATTTTCAGGGTTTTTTTGTGCCGCCTGCGGTGACTTGGCATCTCGACTGACAGATTTCAGTCCCTCGCACTCATTCACTGTGACAAATCATCCGAAACTCCTCCAGCCAATCGCTCAAAATCTGGAAATGGAAAGCAGTGGTGACAGCGAGGCAGGCGGCTCCTGATCGCTCCGATTTTCTTTGCAAAAGTTTCATTATCATCACAGAAAATCAGTCAGCGGGTTTGTGCTTCGATTGACCCGCGTCACCTGCTTCCCGACGTCGGGAATGTTTCTCCGTCCGTCTCGTTTTGACGATTCGCCTCAAAGAGAAAGTAATTACAGGAGAAAACGGCGGTGAATCATCTGGTTTTGATTTATGTTTTTATCGACTGAAGAAAAGGAACCGAAGACAGACGCTTCACCGTCAGGATTTTAATTCAGAGAAAACAGGTCAATGCAACACAAACAGTTTAAAAAAAAAAAAAAAAAAAAGCAGCGAGTTAAAATGACAGAAAACCGACTGAAAACGACAACATGTTGCACATCTGAAAAAACAACAACGGAAAGCAAAACCAAGTAACAACTGAACCTAAAACTGAAAACAAGCCGAGACTGAAAACAAAAGTGAACTGAAAGTAAAAAGGCACTAAAAAGAGAAAGCAAGCAGTGACTACAACTGACAGAAAACAGGGACAAAGTGAAAGCATGACGTAACTGAAACTGAAAGTAAACAACTGAAAAAATAGTAAAAACAAAGAGCGACCATGAAAGACAAGCGACAGAAAACTGATTAAAACTTAAAGCAAGCAAACAGAAATAGACAGTGATCGAAAACAAAAGACAGCAGTAGGTGAAAATGACAGAAAACACTGACAGAATGTTAAAACAAAAACCAAATTAGACAGCAGCGGAAACTAAAAACAAGCCGAGACTGAAAATGAAAGTGAACAGAAAATAAAATTAAAAGTACAAAGCAACTAAAAACGAAAGCCAACAGCCACAGAAAGCAACCGAGAAGAGGGAATGAAAATAAAAAGAAGCAGCTGCTGAAAACAAAAGTAAACAGTGTCTAAAAACAACAGAAAAAGTGTCTGAGAGTGAAGGCCACCAGTGAACAGAAACAGTGAAAGTGAAACCAAACAGGCTTCGATGAGCAGCACCATGAGACGTTGCTGTTTATCGTCTATGAACGAGCTGCAGCGGTTTGATCTGAACCAGACGTCAGAACCGAGCCTCGGAGCAGCTCCAGCTCCAGACGTCTCCACCAGGCTGCTGCTCCCATGTGTTTTCATCTCCGTGTCACAGTCGATTTGGACACAAACTCCCCGCCAAGGTTTGCGGTCAGCAGATCGGAGCGCCGGTCTGACGGCGCCGGTCTCCTCCGGCTGCTCCGTCCACTCCTCGGTGTGAGGAAATAAACTCTCCATCTGCCCATCATCATCACCGTCATCGTCGTCGCTCTCCGACTCTGGACAGCAGACCGAGAACGCCCAAATGAACGGAGCCACTGGGGACGGGTCGGGTTTTAAATATAGGACTGAGATGACAGCTCTGGACTGGGTTACTATTTATTTACCAGACTTCTTGGTGTCATAAATAGGTTTTTAACATTCCAAGTCTTCTGTGTGTTAGCGTTTTGTCTTTCTTTATGCACCATGTAGCTGTGATCAATGACATTCAGTATGGTCAGCAGCACTGGTGCTTTCTTTAATCCGTTTTTCATTTTGGACAGGTCCGTTTTCTAGTAGCAGTAGTAAAATCCCAGGAAAAAAAGACTTATTTTGCATGTTAAGCGTAAAAGGTTCATATTAAACCTGGACTAGAGTTCATCAGAAGACATGTGCAGACTCTGAAGTCACCTGGAAGAAGGTTCTTTGGTCTGTTAAGACCAAAATTTAGCTTTTGGTCCATCAGACTAGATGGTATGTTTGGCAGACAAATATTGCATATTGTCACAAACACACTGTCCCCACTGTGAAGCACGGCGGTGGCAGCGTCTTGACGTGAAGCACGGAGGTGGCAGCATCATTTCTTACAAAGAGAACAAACTATGATCCTAAACAAATATGAATAGTTTTTATGAGTGTTAGCCAAAACCAGGACGCAAAGACAACAAAAAAAACATCGATTATTTTTACCGCATTTTCGATAGACACAAATAAAATCAGTGAAATGACAAAAACAGATGTCTGATGTAACATAACATGAAAATTTAAAGATGTCAAATGTATCAAATCTTCATGTGAAACGACATGTAAAAACTCATGTTACATCCAATATGATTTTAGAATGAACTGGTTTCTGACAGCTGAAAACAAACACTAGTCGTAGAACAGGTTATTGACAAAATAAAAACACAACGAATAGTCACATGTCTGCAGTGTTCGGCCTGATGGAGCCAGCATGTGGATCAATACTTTTTTTTCTGCAATTTTACTAAATATTATTTGTAATTCAAGAAAACAGGGAAAACCTGAAGTTAAAACTGTTAAAAACTTTCATTATTTCCTTCTCAGAGAACACAAGTTGTAATATTTTAAAGACACTTTGTGTATTCGGTGGTTTTGAAAGTCAGGAACTACTTTTTTCTCTCGCTTTTTTTGCTCTTTTATTTGTCTCCAGTTTAATTAACAGCCTGAAAATCAGAGTGGTGAAAGCGAGTCTTTGTTTACAGCAAACAAATGCTGCTAATTAGCTTCCTGTCCGATGCAGTCGACCTCTGCAGGAGCCCGGATGTCAGGTTGTGGTTATTTCGCCGATAGTTGTCGTCTGCTGCTTTTCTTCACTCCGAACTCCGCTCACTGTTTTTTTCCTTCTTATCTGGATGCACTGAACCAAACTCGGGGACAGTTTGAGTTTGAGTTAACCTCCGGCGGGGGTCAAACCTCTGGCGACGCCGACCTCCCTCTGAGCCACCCGGTCACCCAATTAGAAGTGTTGTGTTCGGCGGAGGTGAGAGTTGCGTCTCTGAGCCTTTGGTTTCAGTTCTTTAGTGCCTGGAGAAGGTCCTGGAAGGCTCTAAAGAAACAAACCTGGAGCAGCGTTTATCAGGCGACACCTTCCTGCCTGCTGCCGTCTTTCATCCAAACACGCTGTGAGCATGAAAACACTCTTTTCTTTGTGCTCGTCGTCCGCCTGCTTCATGTCTTTGGCTTCATCCTCAGACAGCCGGAACAGACTCACTTTATCTCAGACACACAGTCACTTTAAGCCTCCGTCATCAGATCCTCGTTTTCTCCTCAGAAGTCTGTAAATTTGTTATTTCTTCTCGTCTTTTCTTCGCCGCTGCGGCGGCTGGGAGGAGGGGAAACTATTTAAAGTGAGGTCTCTATGGAAACAGGATGCAGAAGAGGCCGAGTGCTCGGCAGCAGTGACGCAGCAGGATTCAAGTTCCAAAAGGTGGAAGATGTAGAAGTCGCCTTTAAACCGCCTGCTCCGTAACTTCTCAGACGTCGATAAAATAACAACTGCGGTGGTTTACTGGGAGCTTCACAAACTTCAGATCTGACTCGGATGCTGCAGCAAAGCGACAACGAGACAATAAATGCGCTGCGTCATGAGTGGAGTGAACAGAAAAAGTTGAATTTTTGCAAGTTGTAGCATAAAAAAAAACTGGTTACATGCTGATTCTGGCATTTTCAGAGACAACTTGGAGTTTTTGTGCTAGATTGTCGTGTTTATTACGACTTTAGCAACATCTGCTAATTCACCGGAGCTGCAACAGTCTGCTAACGCGCTAATCTGTCCTGTCTGTGAACAGCAGCTTTACTCATCAGCCAAAGTAGCGCCTTTCATTTGTTTTAATGGATAACTGGTTCATAAAAATAACGATACGGCTAATCAGAACAATGCTAAATATTAGCATATTGTAATATTTCATCCTCCTCCTTTGTCTTCCTCTCCAGCTCTGCTCTACGCCACCATCTTTGGAAATGTGACCACCATCTTCCAGCAGATGTACGCCAACACCAACCGCTACCACGAGATGCTCAACAACGTCAGGGACTTCCTGAAGCTCTACCAGGTTCCCAAAGGCCTGAGCGAGCGGGTGATGGACTACATCGTGTCCACATGGTCCATGTCCAAAGGCATCGACACGGAGAAGGTGAGGCTGCAAAGACCATGTGTATAGTTTTAAGTTTCCAGTGTTTCCTAAATGCTTCATTTTTTGTGATGGAGTCATTTAAACACAGAAGTCTTTGTCTCAGAAAAACAATCAAGCATTTTGGTTATTTCATAGATTTATTGTCGGTCTTCTGGAAATCAAAACTCATACATAAAGCCACTTCAATTGCTACAGTGGGAGAAGCTGAAAAACATCTGAAAAGCAAATCATTGATTTCAACAAGTCAGAAAGTCTCTTGGAGTCATTTCAGAGCAGCTTCAGATCCCAGAACCATCAGTGTGTCAGCATAAAGTTCATGGTCCAGTTGTGTTACTGCCACCATCAGGAAGAAAACACAAACTATCAGCTGCTGCTGAGAGACGATTGGTCAGGATGGTCAAGAGTCAACCAGGAACCAGCAGAAAGCAGCTCTGGATGGATCAGAAGCTGCTGGAACACAGCTGTCAGTGTCCACAGGGTCTGACATCAACATGAGCTGAGAGGCTGATGGAGAAGTTCTTCCTCCAGAAGCAGAACCTTAAAGCTCCACTGAAGTCTGATCACATGGACAAAGAAAAGGCCTTCTGGAGGAAAGTTCTGTGGTCACATGGAACAAACACTGAGCAGAACCATGTCTGGAGGAGAGAAGGTGAGGCCTTTAACCCCAAGAACACCAAACCTACCATCAAGCATGGAGGTGGCAGCATCATGCTCTGGGGCTTCACACAAAGTAAATGGATCAATGAAAAAGGAGGATCACATTCTTCAGGAAAACCTAAAACCATCAGCAGAAGGTTGATCTTGGACACAGTTGGATGCTCCAACCAGACAATGAGCCCAAACACACATCAAAGTGGTGAAGAAATGGTTCCATCAGGCTGGAATGAAGGTTCTAGACTGGTCTCCCCAAAGTCCTGACTGGAATCATCCAGAACCTGTGGACTGATGAAGAAACATGTCTGAGTCAGAAAGACGACGAGTTCAGTTGAACTGCAGCGATTCTGTCCAGAGGAGTCAGAGATGAACCAGAAGGTTGTGGATGGAAACCAGAAGAACCAGACATTTAACCAGATATCAGTGTTACTGTGTGGATATTTTTGACCCAATAGATTTTGTCATATTTCCAGAAGACCTTTAATAAATCCACGAAAGAACCAAAATGCATCACAGACAAACATTCATGTGTTTTAATGATTCTATCATAGAAAATTCAGAGGTTTAAGACTCAATGGAAACTCAAAACTGTAAGAATCTACATGATCTATACAACTGTATGTAAACTCTTGATCACGGCTGTGATTCTTTGCTGCTGTATTTATCCGTGCAGGGATTAAAAACTCGATGACAAAACCAGCGAGTCACACGTAAGAAAGCAAAACCTGGATGATGACAGATTTAGATGCAGCAGTCACACTTAAAACCATTACATGGGTTAAGCTCCTTTACGCTGCGACGCCGAGACAAAACTCTGAACAAAACATCTCAACAAAACCAGCGAGAAGAAAGACAGGAACCAAAATAAAAGAGAGAAGAGCACGACGAGACGCCCGGTGGCCTCAGACTGCTCCGACCTGATTTACTCACGCTGGGAGCTGAACTTCTGACCCGCCGCTCACACTGCAGTTATGCACACATTCAATTTAGATTTAAAAATTTTATTATATCCAAGAAATTGCTGCAGCGTCGCAGCGTGAGCGCCGGCTGCAGGGACTCCGTTGCTGATCTGAATGTGTTCCTCACTCAGAGACGGACCGACTGTGTTTCAGTGGACTCGGTTTGTACTGGAAGGAATTAAAAAAAACTGTGAAATCTTTACTGGAATAAAAATAATTCAGTGCTGGTGGTTAAAAAAAAAGTGTAGCTACATAAAAAGCTGTATAACTACTTATAGTCAGTTACAGTACGTCCACAGCAAAGATATGAAATGCATAATATCAAACTAAATCATTAGTAAACATGGCTAAAAACCAATGATGATTTTCATTGTCAATTAATCTATTTTCTGGATTTATTGTAAATAAAATTTTTAAAAAGATCCATAAAAAATGTTTACAATCTGGCAGCTAAAGTGGCAATAAAATAACGTTAAAAAAACAGAACAGTGTACAAAAACTATGAAAAAAATGAAAATTATGGCAAATGTCTGTAAAATAATGATAGTTTTATTGGATTTTAGTGCAGAAAATAGTGTAATTTTATGGTAACACACTCTGAAATAAGAAATATTATTAGAACAAGCACGGATGTTGTTTTGTACTTTTACCATTTTTTACTATATATATATACAGTATATATGGATGTAATCTGTGATTTAGCAAAATGGGGATAATCTCTAAATATTAGATGGTAAATCAAACAAAAAAAAACACTTAAAGACTGTTAAAATAAACTTTCTGTATTGTTTGGTATAAAAAACTATTCTGCTGTGCTTTGATTCGACCTGAACTCAGCTGTGTTGTCGTCTTTCCTACTCTCTCGCTCGCATGAACTGAATCTTAATGCATTTAAATTCACAATAAATCTGCTCTCGTTCGTAGATTTATTCTGTTTCTGTTGTCAGGATGAAACAGTGACGGAAGCTCATTCAGACGACGTGTTAGCCAGCACTCAGCTTGGTTCTGCGGATAAAATGCAGATTTTGTAACGTCATCTGACAAACTCGCCAGACGCAGGAGTTAAAAACAACGACTGGGCAGTGAATTCAAAGAGATTTCCATCCTTGTAGAGCAAGTTAGAAGCGTTAGCGTTGTCGGACATGTAAGTGTCTGTGGCTCAGGTGGTACAGCGGGTTGTCCTCTAATCGTAAGGTTGGTGGTTCGATCTCCCGTCCTTCCACAGTTGACATGTCCTTGAACAAGACGTTGAACCCGAAGTAGCTCCCGATGGCAGGCAGCAGCTTGCATGGCAACCATTGGTGTATGAATCGGTGAATGAGAAAAAGCACAACAACAGGTTTGATTTCTTTAATCTCTACTTCTTTAACGTCTGTCGGCTTTCAGAGTTTGGCGAACTTTCCTCCGACCAAACTGGAACTGGATTGTTTTTATGTTCCGTCTTTCACTTCTGGAGAAACACGAGGAACACAGCTCCATTTTTAAGCACAACATCTGGTTGTTTCTTGCTAAAAAGGGAACAGACCCGTCATAAAATCCTGATCCAGGACAGCTTTGAGACCCTTCATGATATTTTTGTTTCCCACCGAACAGCTGCTGAATCCAGCTTCAACTAAAGTCACATCAGCTCATTATTTCTGCTGTGCTTAATAGCACTTGTTCGTCTTCTTCATCCGTCCGTTCGGTTTCTTTTTCTTTTGGATCACAAACCGGCCCTCCATCAATTCCAAGCGTGAGCGATAATTATAGACTCCTGAGGAGACATAAGGCGAGCGCCGAGCCCAGCCTCGGTATAAATACCTCGCAGTCAGAGCTGGGGCCAATTAGTCGGTATGTTTTTGTCACTTTGGGAGCCGTTATCCGGTACATAGTCAGCTGTTTATGGGAGTTTACACCCGAAATAAAGACCAGAGGCTCCCCAAAGCGTCTCACTAATACCCTCCACTTTGAAACGCGACTGTGTGGTGTTGTGATGCTGCAGAGGCTTTTAGAAGAGTTTTCTTTTCGTCCATGTTACTGTGAACACTTGGTTTGCTCAGTTTTTACCTAAATACTTCAGTTAATTAGGCTGGATTTTAGAATTTGTGTAATGAGCCGGACAAAGCGAGCACAGTTTAGAGTCTCAGAGGGAGGTAATGAATGCAGCAGCACCGGCTTGAATTGTTAAACTGTGTTCTTCTGCAGACAGTCTTACAGCAGGATGGGAAACCAATAAGCCTTCGGTTACAAGTTAAAGTTTTTTATCGAGATCTTCGAGCCAAAACCTGAGCTCCTCTGGTGTTTTCTGACCTTATTCTGACCCAGCAATACCGCACAGTGTTTAAAATATAAACTCACATAAAGCCCCGGGCTCCACAAAATATACATGTTTGCGCTGGCAGTGTTACAACTGGTGTCCAGACCTTAAGGAAGAAGGTTTTTACCCATTTATTTACTATTCAGGGCAGGTTGCTTTGGCAAACAGCCACTGGGACTTTCAGCAACACTTACTGCTGCACTCTGAAAGACATTATGTCCAACGGTTTTCTGCTACTCGACAGTTTGTCGCTGCCAGTTGAGTTAAAATTGGTTTAACTTTAAGCTCTTGAATGTATACCTACCAACAAAAACCAGACAAGCATCCAGGCAGGGAGCAAAATGGAGGAAAACCTGGCGTTATGTGGGCCTGGATTCCCTGAATTATACGACACAAGTTTGCAATTGTATTGAGACCTTTTGGAGGACTGTACCAAGAAGGAAGTTTACTAAATCCAGACTTTCTTTGTGGAAACCAGCTCAACAAAACCTTAAATCTGAATCAGACATATTGAGTGTCACAACTTTGGTTAGCAACTTTTCTCTTCAACCTTCTTGAGACTCATGTTTTCATAAAAGAGGGAGTTTAACGCATCATGTGACTCTTTTTCTGCACAAAATGGACCAACTGGGTGCCACCTACAGTTCTAGTTGCCATGGTGATCCAGCAGGTTGGAAGAAAGCCGACATCATGTTACTAAAAACTCAGACTGTTGGCTGATTCAGCAGCTTATTTCTCACCTTAAATGGTTTCAGAAACACATTTTGTTTACATATTATTAGTGAAAGTTTCCATGTCGATCTGGTTTGAAATCAAGGAGCTGACCTAAGAGGGTTCGTCCAATCAGGTGCAACCAGCGTTTCCTGTAGGAAGGTGGAGCCTGTGTTGGACTCTTGTTGAGGACCACTTGTCAGTAATGTGTCGTGACATTGCCATGCCATACGCCACTGTTGGTAAACGACGCAAACGCTTTCATCTAAAAAGCCCTGTGTGGACATGTACCGTAAGGCTGAACCAGGCCACCCCACACAGAAAACATCAATTTATCCGCTAGTGTCTACTCAATTTTTTGCTCACTACCCAAAGCCTGATCAACTGGTCAATCACAAGGTTTTCCATCCAGCTCAGCTCCCTCGTCGCCACAGTGGTCCAGTGCAATACAATCTCTCCAGGGGAATTGAGGTTTGCTGTTCTACTCTTTGCAGATGATGTTGTTCTTTTTGTTTCAATGGACTGGGATCTTCAGCATGCATTGTGAGAAGTGTTCAGGATGAGAATCGACACCTCCAAGTCTGAGGCCATAGTTCTTTACACTTGGAGTTAGCTGCTACCTCAAGTGCAGGACTTCAAGACATTCTAAGAAGAACTATACAAGTCCACGTAACCGTGAAAACCATATCCTCATTATCGTCTGGAGGTGGCCTTTCTGTACCATCATCTAGCTGTGAATAGACTCCTTTAAATATCGTTTGTGAAATGTTTCACTGCAGTAAAGGAAGAAGAATAGTCTCTTTTGTAAACCGTTTCTCTCTGTATTTTAGGTCTTGTCCATCTGTCCTAAAGACATGAGGGCCGACATCTGCGTCCACCTCAACAGGAAGGTAGGAATCCACTGTTTTCTTCTTTATGTCACGACACTTTATCTGATTCACTAGATCTGGTGTATTGTGTCTCAATGTTGTGAAAAACTTGTGGGGTAAACTCACACCGTAATGTGCGTAAATAGACTTCGGATTAAATTGAAGTTCACCAAAGTGCTGGTCAGATTATAAAACAGACAGCAACTGAGGTGTGAGCAAAAAGAAAACACATCAAACTACGTTCACACAATCGGATTTCCTGACGTCGGACATTCGCTGCTTCCCTCCTCAGATGTTTCATTACATAACCGAATGGAGGGTAAATCACTCGACTGATATCCGTCCATAAGACTTTGCGATACTCAAACTGCTGAACCGGCTCCATCAAAGGACACCTTCGGTAACAACCGTCTCCGATGACGAACACGAGTTACTAAAGTTAGTCTTCGGCGTCTCAAGTGTCTCCGTCTCTGAAATAACCCTCCAACTGTACATTTGTTCCAAGTACAAGCCTTCACTGATCAGCTATGGAAGTTTCTACAGGAATGTGTGTTAGTAATGTTAGAATCCAGATAATTCATTAAACATCAGTTAAAGCAGGACAAGACGACCTTCTGCCCAAAAGATTATTGAGCTAGACGGCCTTATAGAGTTTCAAGGGAAGACGATGGCACTCTGAGGTTTCATTTCAATACAAGTAGATCCATTGAATCTGACTTTCACCAATATTTGATGTCCTTACTGATCTAAAAGTTATTTGTTCTTCCGCAGAATCATAAATGACGTCCAAAGGCAATAGGAAAATGCAAAATATGTTGCTCAAAAAAGAACATGACGAGTAAAACTAAACTGAAATCACCCTTTAATTTGGTAAAGTTTTATTCCACAATCTTAAGAATTAGCAGTGTCGTATTTTTAAGCACTGCATTGGAAAAGGTTCTTGGAAACTGCAAAATGAACCAAAAACAAGCTTTTCGCTCGCACTCAGTGGTTTTTTAAACATTTAACTGATCAATACCAGCTGACGTGAAGGACTCACTACAACTTTCCCAACTTTCTCCATTTCATAGATGGACAAAGTTTGGTTGGTTTCTTTCTCTAGCCGGTTGTGTTTGCATCTTCTTCTACTCAGCCACGTAGCCCACAGCACCACCTTCTGGTGAAACTATACAGCCTACTGAATAGAAATCTTTGGGGTTTTTTTGCAACATTTCAAAGGCTAGCTTCACATTAGCTTGATAAATATATAGAAACTTGGCTATTGTTGTTCTTGCAGCTACAAGTCAGCCAAAAACGCCAAAGAACTTCTGACTTTAACACCGATCCCTTGTAGTTAACCTTCCTTTTTATGTTATTATCATGTTAAAGCATGCAAGTAAAGCAGAAACCTTCCTTTGGGTTTCATTTCCTCGAGGGGTGTTTCAGACTTTAAGGGTTTCCAGGTTAAGGGTTGTTGTTTTTTACCAGAACTACTTTGAACAAGAGGCTCATAAGAGTTTAAGGTCAAATTAATATCTCAAAGTTGAATCAAACCTTGTCATGATTTCGTCCAGATAAACATATTTTACTTATTTAGAACGGTTCCTTCAGATTTCTCTCCATTTCTTCTTCTTCTGGTTCGGCGTCCTGTCTTCTTCTACTCTGTTTATTATAGTCATATACGGTCGCCTGAAGCCACTTTCTACAGATACTATACAATTTGGTTTATTTGCTCCGAGACGTTGTTAAATAAAACATTTGGAAAGTTTTCTTCGAAATAGTTTGAGGAATATGTAAAAACTTGGCTCGTGTTGCTTTTATAGATGCAAATGCTCCAAAACCCCCTAAAGAACATCTGAGTTTAACTCCAGCAAATAATGAAAACGAGACTAATTGGCTTTTCCTCAAAGTGATTCCTGAGTTTGCTCGACAACTTCAACAACACCACAGTTATTGTAGGTTTTGTCAAATAAAAAGTCACGTCTTTGCCCTACCGTGGGATTTCCCTTTAACAGAAACACCCCTCCATCCCCAAAGGAAGCTGAAACTCGGTGGTTTCCAGAATAAAGGCGCCGAATTAGGTTTGGACCTCAGTGTTTGAACTGCAAGTGTTCATGAATAAAAACATGAAAATGCAAAACCTTGCAGCAGCAGCAGCGATCTCTCCCGTCAGACTCCTTTTCTTTTGATGCTTCACGAGCTTCGACGTGAACAGTTTAACTTTGTCAGACCTTTAAACTTCAATCGAAACCTTCTGACAGCGAGCCGACTAGTAGCTGTCCTGGTAGAACGCGGTTCAGCGAATGAAAACGCAGCGACGGCGAAGCGTCTGAGGAGATGTTTCCTTCAGGAGGTCGACAGGAAACACAACTGACGGCTTCACTTTGACAGATTATCGCACCGCGTTGTAGCTGCAAGATCAGAAAATGACTCCGCAGAAGAAGAAATCTACTGTTGTCTTGTAGGTTTCATAGAAAATGAACTGTTCTGGTCAATAACGATCCAAAACCTGCTTCAGCTTTAAACCTTCAGCAGATGTTTGAAGGAGTTTGTTGAAACTTTACTTTGACGTCTTCAGTGGTGGAAGAAGAATTTAGATCCTTTATGTCAGTAAAAGTACCAACATGAGAGCAAAATAAAATTTCAGCAGATTTTGTATTTTGTTTTTATTAAAGAGGTGTGATTTCAAGTTGATATATATGGTGTAGTGAGAGCACCAAATTACAAAAATAAATCAATAAAAAAAATAATAAAACAAAAGTGTAAATAAAATTAAAAATAAATAATGCGGCAGTGTAAAGCAATATTAGTCACAAATGAATCCAGAAAAGAAAAGGCTAACAAAAGTAGAAATATAAAGACAAATAAATAGAATAATTAAAAGAATATTTATTTATTTTAATTTTTATAATTATTTAAAATTTTGAAAATTTTAATGTATTTATTTTTTTTATTATTTTATAAATATTTCTATTTTGTTAATGTTTATAAATAAATTATTATTTTAAAATATTTTATTTATTTGTCTTTTATTTCTACTTTCATTAGACTTTTCTTTTATGGATTTATTATTAATTAATATTGCTTCATATTGCCACGTTATTTATTTTTTGATTGTATTTATTCTTCTTTGTATTTCCACTTTTATTTTATTATTCTTTTATTGATTTATTTTTGTCATTTGGGCTCTCACTACTCCATTGATAGAAGCCAGAAAAAGCAGACAGACAGAGATTCATCAGAAACTTCACTTCATCTGCAGCTTTTATACACCTTCTTTTGATTCCTGTCAAATGAACAGTTGATTTAAAGGATTTTTTATTATTATTATTTTTCTTTGATCCTAGTTAAAGAAAACAGTGGCTGAGTTTCAAATTTGTATTTAAAGAAACGGCAGCAGTTCGTCTGATTTCTGCACGATGTTTGAGGACAAAGTCGATAGAAGCAGAGAAATAAACAGACGAAAGATAAACGAGACTCCTTTGAATCATACTTCACTTTAATTGGGACTTAAATACACTTTTTTTTTAACCAGGAAATTAGACGCAGGAACTACATCTAAACATCAGAAACAACCTACAAATAGACGGACGTGAAGCTCTCTACATATTTATTCAGATGTACAGGCTGTTGTGCCTCCACTCATTTCAGATGCAGTCATTTAGTTCTGGAAGCCTCGACCGAGCTGATGGGGATCCACAAAAATCATTAGTTCACGCTCTGTGGAGCACGAATCTACAGCCAAGTCATCGACTGCTGAATCGGTGAATCTGTCCAAGACGAGCCCAACACACAGAAAATAGACTCAAGTTTGGATGAAGTCGTATTAAGTTGGCGAGCTTCTGGGGAGTTTTCACACTTTTATTCACTCAAATACTTCAGGATTATAAAGTACAAACTGTGTGAAGTTCAAAAAATTTAACTCTAAGGTGTTAAATCTGCTGATTCTGACACTTTTCTGGTGCCTTTGTCTCGACTACCTGGCTTTAGAGAACCGTTTCTAACCGTCCAATCGGCTTCACTCAGGTGTTCAACGAGCATCCTGCGTTCCGATTGGCCAGCGACGGCTGCCTTCGCTCGCTGGCGGTGGAGTTCCAGACCATCCACTGCGCTCCGGGAGACCTGATCTTCCACGCCGGCGAGAGCGTCGACACCCTCTGCTTCGTGGTGTCGGGGTCACTAGAGGTCATCCAGGACGACGAGGTCATCGCCATCTTAGGTAGGCGGGGCTTAGAGGATTAAAAAACACTGAATGTGCGTGTTTGGATCAGCGTGGAAGCAGTTTATTGTGAGAATTCGCAATGGTTTCTCTGTTCTATGTATATGTTTGTTAGCTGAGCATAACTTTGGGATTTGGGCTGTTTGTTGGACAAACGAGACATCTGAAGAGGATTTTCCTGAAGTTTTACCGGCAAAAATAATTAGCTGTCATCTTGAGCACTGACTGTCGATTTTCTCAGATGAAATTATTAAAACTTGCTCTGGAATCAGTAACGTTTCGGCTCGTCTGCTGCATTCAACACTTTGGTAATTTATCGTAACCTGGTGTTAAATTTATCTTCTCTTCAAGTTTTTAGCAGAGCTGAGGGGATTTTGCAGCAGACATGAAGCAGTTAAAAACGGTTTTATCGGCAAAATGTTTCCTTCATTTTAACTGTTATTGCTTATTGATTGGTAACGTTTGGTTGAGATTTGCCTCCCGAAGGACGAAGGAGAAATCTGAAGAACCAGAGCAGTACGTCAGTGACTCATACGGGAGTGAAAGAGTCTGTAAGGAGCGTAAACGATGTGCGTCATGGACGTTACATGAAGTCCAACGTAAACAGGGAGCATTAGATGACTAAACCAAACGCTCCGGTGTGTGATTTCCGTTCAAAGCATTTCGTCTCTAATCTGTCCTGTTTCTTTTCTTGGTCTTATGATTGAACGTGATGCGTTTCTGACCTTCTCCTCTGAGACCTGAAGGAGCCGAACGAGTCACGAAACCCTGTCGACAGCAGCAGCGTTTTATTCTTACGCCCGGTTTGTGTCAACAGGACTTCAAACGTTCAGAAACGGCAGCGAGCGTCGAACACCGACGGCGGCTCTTATCTGCCGCCGTCACGGTGTCGAGCTGCAGCGTTTCTGAGCAGAACAACGAAGGAAACAGAGAAGCTAACGGAGATAACGTCAGGAAGCCGCTCTTTGTTCAGACAAAACAGACGGAATCGTTTCCAGAACCATCGGAGGAGTTTTTCAGAACAAGCTGCACGACGACGTTCACGTCAGACTTCATGAAGCGGCAGCGATGGAAGTCGGTTTGTGCTGCTGAGGAGTTCAAACTTCAAGCTGTTGCTGCTTTCAGCTCATAAAGACGAAGTCGTGTCCATCTGGAAAACTGCACTGTAAAAAATCTGTTTTTTTTTAACAGATTCTAGGTGTAATTTATTTTTATTTTTTTTAACAATGTACGATTATTTTTGCATATTTTTCCTGTTTTATTAAAATACAGACAAATAATAAAATTATAGGGAAAAAAACTATTAATTTACACGTTAACCACAAAAAACAGTCTAAAACGGTAAATAACTTGAAAAATCTGTATTTTTTTACACGACATTAGACTTTTTCACTTTTATTTACTGTATTTAAAACACACACACACACACATTTATTTATTTATTGCAGATATTTACTATTATTTGAAAGAAGAATTATTCATAACAAGGACTGATAATTGATAAATAATTTTCACACTGCAAATTGCAAATTCTTCCCTTTTTGTATAATCTCAGATAATAACTAATAAAATCACACAAAAACTATTAATTTACACATTAACCATAAAAAATGCGCCAAAACTGTCAACAATCTCCACATCAGCGATTATATTTTTACAAATGATAATTAGTTTTGAGTAAGAAAAGCGCTATATAAATCTAATCAACTATTATTAGTTTTTTTGTTATTATTTTTATTTTTTACAATGTTTTACTTTATTTAATTCATCATAAAAAAACATATTTGAATTTATTTGAATTTAGAAACAGTAACTTGTTTTTTAAACAGTTATTTTACAGATTTGTTTTTATTGTTTAGTTGGATAACAGATATCTATTAAAATCACAGGAAAATTATCGGTTTAGATACATAAAACTGTTTATGTCTGATTATGTCTTCATGTGGATTATATATTTTAATAAACATAATTTGTGCTTTTACAGTGTGTGAACATATTAACTGTTTTAATTTAAATCAGCAAAAAAAATCGTTGTTTTATAGATATTAGCTGTTATCTGAAATAAAATTGTATATATCAAGGATTGAGAAATGCAATATATATTTATAACTGTTATTTTACAGATTTTCACAGTTTTATCAAATTATAGATATCATGTAAAATCTAACAACAAAAGAGGTTTAAAAAAATATTAATTAAGAAAAGTTTTAATTACAAGAGACACAGAATAAAACGGACCAAAACTGTGAATCATGTCAACATCAGGAATCTTGTTCATTTCACTTTAATAGTAAATTTATTGATTTATTTTTCAACAAAATGTGAAATTACACTGTTTTACTGCTTAAACCAACTGAACATCGAGATTTTTTTCTCCTTTTTCTCCATTTTTCCAGTTTTTTAGTGTCACAGTATTCTGTCGTTTTAAATTTTTTTTTAAACATATTTTTCTGGTGGTTTATTGTGAACCGAGTACAGAGGAAGGTGAAATGCTGCAAGCCGGCAGTGTGGACGTCCTCCTTCACCTCTTTAACTCCGTTACGAGGCCGAAGCCGAGCAGACGGCAGTCAGAGGTTCATAAAAAGCACATTAGACGTTTGAGAAATTGCTTCATCTCTCGGAGGACGTTAATCAATAAACGGATTCTCCAACACGCCTGCAGCTGTTTTCCTCCAGACTGACATCCTCAACTTATTGGGTTTCGCTGCTTCTCAGGGTTCAGCGTCAGCGAAGCCCGACGGGAAGCTACTGCCGTCTGGAGACGCAGTTAGATGGAGGGAAGTGGAGTTTTAAACCGGATCCTGGAAGATCAGCGGAGACGATGCCACGGTTGCCTTCAGCCCACATCAGAGCACAAACCTGATTTATTTTACTTTTAGACGAGAACCAGGCTTTTATTTCTAATCTTTGCTTGATGGAGGCTTCATCTGACAAAAGTTATAGCTGCTGATGTCAGTTAATGTTTCATAATAAAGAACAAAACTCAGCAGAATCTCCCATAACTTATGAACCCTCTGAACTCCAAGCAGCAGATTCTGGAGGTTTTGTTGCTCCTGCTGCATTCTTTCCTCACTGCAGGTTCATTTTGTGTGTGTTATTATTTATGGAGAAAATGCTCCAAACCAGTCACGATTGTCATGTAATTTTTGAGCAATTTCCAGCCAATTAACTCGAGATAAGTTGCAGGCTGTTCCCTCGTGATCTGTAGAAAGATGTTCCACCATCATCTGTAGCAGGCTGTTCCTTCGTGATCTGTAGAAAGATGTTCCACCATCATCTGTAGAAAGATGTTCCACCATCAGATGTAGAAAGATGTTCCACCATCAGATGTAGAAAGATGTTCCTCCATGCTGGATGTATCTCCAACAACTGGCTCCTCTGTTCTCTGGTTCTGAGCCATGCTGCATTTATTTATTGGTCCAGTAGGTTGGATTTTCCTCTCAGTCTAAAATTGCCACAAAAAAGACACTTGAAACTTTTTTTTTTTTTTTTTTACTGTGTTTTTACTAAATTTTATCTGTAATTAATCAAAACAGTGAAACAGTTTATATATATATATATATATATATGTTTTTTTAAAATCCAGCTGATACTGTTCATACCCTGTGTTCCAGTGTAGTTTTCTGTTGGTCGTGATGCTTTTATGACGTCTTAATTCTTTATGTTATGCATTTTTGCAGTTTAAAAGTGACAGAAACATATTTACAAACCGTGTCTCCAGTCAGTTTAGGATTTTCCAGGCTTTTATGTTTTAGTCTTTTCTGGTCTCCGTGTTGCCGTCCAGAACCTCCTGCTGGACGGATGTGGTGTGTTGGGCTTGTTGAGGAGCAGCTGAACAAACAGACGCCTCTGAGCCTCAATCATCTATTAATGATTTCTTCTCCATCTCTGACAAAATCCACTCAGCCTCCTTTTTTTTGTTGTTTTTGCCAAAACGAAGAGCTGATTAATTTTCTAATCCATTATTCATGCTGGGTTATGAGACGGGGATTCTGCTGTGGACTTGTATTCTCACAGCAATATGTTCTGGCCCAGCGAGCTTCCAACCGCGGCTGAGTCTGACAAGACGCCGCAGCAAGACGCGAGGCTGTTTGGACGAGTCGATGCGAGCAGGGATTTATTGAGAGCGCGGGTTAAAGGGACGCCGATGAAAAGCCACCGGCGGCTTCCTGCTGCTGCTTTAATGAAGCGATAGTGTCGTACAGACACTTAACTCCTCACCTCCGCTCAGGATGCTGGAAACAGCCACATCTGTAGCAGCTATGACAAGAACCCAGCTCTCTTCTGATTGGTTCTCCTTTTAGTGCTTTTTGATGTTGAATTATGGTCAATTTAATTTGTCGTTTCTGACATGAATTTACAAGAAAAACAGACTCTTTAGTGTCAAAGTGGGTTTCTACAGCGTCAGCTCAACAACTTTGTAGATCAAAAAAAAAATAAATCGTCTTGTGTTCAGCAGCATTTTGATAAGTATGTTTTCAACACATTCTAGTGAATCTGCTAAAACTGTTAAAACCTGAGTGTCTGAGCAAGAAGGAGTGAGGGAGGCTACCAAGACTCCTACGACTCCTCTGAAGGAGGTACAAGAAGGAGACTAGTGAAGGAGGCCACCGAGACTCCTACGACTCCTCTGAAGGAGGTACAAGAAGGAGACTAGTGAAGGAGGAGTCACAGGTGTCTTGGTGGCCAGTACCAGTCTGGACATATAGTAACCGGTCTGTATCTAATCCTGATTCTTTATTTACGTCCGTTGGTATCGTTAAAGATGAAGACAACTTGTGTTAGCGCACGAGGGATGCAACTTTTTATGAACTTTCTTACTCAATAATCAGCAGCATTTTCAATCAATAATCAACTAATTGATGACAAAAAACTGACCACAGTGGAAATTTATCCTGAACTGGTTTTGCTGTTTGTGACATCTGCTGCTGTGATACATGAACTCTGTCCCAGTTTGTGTAAAACTCATGAGCTCTGTTCGGCGTCATTAAGCATCACAG